GACTATCCTTCACATACCTGATACTAATGCTGGTGATGAGATTGAATTTTTATCTCTGTCCCCAATGACTAATGCAAGTTAAATGCTCCTGTGGTTGTTGTTAGGCTCCTGTTTTTCAAGAGCTCTCAGGGGTTCTTGGCTTGTTGTTGAGTGTGATATTATGGAACAAATAGTAGGGCTTAATGGTGGTGCAGATGATTTAACTGCCCTCGGGGCGATGAAAAAGGGGGGAAAAATTGTTTCTGTAGGCTACACAGTGTACTGTTGTTATGTAGTTGTTTGGAAGCCTTTATTTTGTGAGATTCCACACGGTGGGGCGATGCAGGCCAAAAATATATGGTATAAAATATCTTATTTGACTACCTGTGTTCCACATGTGCTTTCCGCATTTAAGTATGTTGTTTAATTGCAGCACGGTTCTCCTCAGTCTCCTTCAGGCCCAGCACCGACTGTGTTGTCTGCTCTGCTCTATCAGAGATGCTGTGGCTTTAATCCTTTGCCCACAGGGGACGGCTGACATGGATGTGTGTAAACTGTTGACATGGTGCTGTCTCCTATGCTCTCTGATCAAAGACGGTGCAGCCCTCCTGTTTCACAACCTGCCTTCAAATATGCTCCAAGTCTCACAGACTCCCTGCCTCTCTGTTTCACACTTGTTATTAACCCGTGACTCCCCATGGTAAATCGCTACATCTGACAAAGACAAAGAAGCTGTTTATGCCTTTCCTTATGTAGCCTCTGTGACCTCCCTCCAAGCAATGAATTTGATTTGGAAAATGGTGTGTATGTAGCTCACGCCTTAGTGGAAACCAATTTTGGAGACAGTAATGCACTGGCTTTAAGTGCAAGAAAAGATTTGGCTTGAAGTTGTGCTTAGTTTAATTAATCCTCGGTAATGATGCAACTATTAGTAAGAGCTCCGGTTGTCTTAAGTGGCTGGAGGGGTGTGTGTGTGTGTGTGTGTGTGTGTTCATTCGATGAGCGGCGATGCTGATCAAGCCAACTACAACTCACTGTCTAAATGTGGTTCGGCTTCAGGACTCCGGGGAGTTCTGCTATTGTTTCAAAGTTTCCTTTAACCTCATGAGAACACTAACAAGTGTGATATTAAATAGCTATTGTTACGACATCCTGATGCAGTGTTGCGTCTTTTAATACAGTAAGAGCCGGGAAATCCTGTCACATTTGTGTTGCAAATTGAGACATTAAAGCTTTATTTTTGTTGTGATTTTTGTGAGAAAATTCATTAAAACAAATATGATCTGTTTCTCAGTCTTTTGGTAAATAATGCTAGGCAGCGAATGCACAGAGTTTTTAAAGTGTCCATATTATTTTGTTTTTGAGACCTATCTAAGTCACTATGTTACACATTTGCATAATGCCCACCTTGCGGCTAGTTTGGCTCAACCTCAAAGGATTAGCAGCTGCCTTATAGGCTGCCCCTTTATTTACTTGCCAGAGCCGCTTCTGCTAACTCTAAAACGTCTCTGCCACGAGCGGAGCACGCCAAATGTTCTTTGTTGGCTTCAGTAGCAAATGCAATTGAGTCTTAGTGCACTCTCAGCATCTGAGGAACTGAAGACACAGTGGATTATTTTTTATTTTTGATGCTAATGTCCCCTCAACAAAAGAAAAATTCTAACTGTTGGCATGTTGCGTGGCTCATGGCTTATGTTACAATTGGCTTTGATCGCATACCATGCCCACAGGCCAGAGCTTTGTCTGAAGTGTAATGGTAGTGGACAGTCAGAAATTGTGTCATTTCAGACTGATTTTTATTTAAACCAATAAACAAATACTGGGTGTGGGTTGCTATGTTTTCTTGTCTTTGACTTCTTGCTTTATTATAACCAGCTTTTCGTTTTTGCATTCACTGGCGTGGCACACATGGACCAGCTAAAAGAGCACAGTTGCCAACAAGGCCAGTTGTGTAATCCAGATCTGTGCTGAAATATCTGGGTTCTTCCTTTGCACTAGCTCTTATACGGCTGAGCGATTCATGGAATTTTCACTTAATTTACGATTATTGTAATAACAAGATAATTTCTTGTGTTGGAAAGCAAGTGCTTTTCGTTACAGTGGTGAACTTCTGCCGCTCCCTGAAAGCCCAACCTGTTTTGTTCAGCTCCAGCCAAGTTGACTTTTTGGGGGGAGAGTCACTTGGTCAACAAGATCCATACAGAAGAATTAAAAGTCATAGGATTTCTGCAGTTCAACCTGTGAAAGGATTATTAATGATAACCTCCAGCCGCCCTTGTCTCCAAATCGGTCAGGGTCTCTCAACCAGCCGCTTTCAGCGGCACGTGACATTTGGCTGTCGGCTTTTGCTCTTCATCTCCCTTCCTGTTGCTGCTCTACAGGCCCCCTGAGGCAAGTGAGTCTGTTGCCTCTGGGCTTCTCTTCACTCCTGCATGCAGCCGCAGAGATCCTGTGGTGTAGGCATGCCGGCGGGGACCGGGAGTCGCTCTTGGGAGATGGACTTTATGGTCAAAAAACACCCTTTAGTCAGGGTTCAGGGGTGGGGCTAGAGTGGCACTGTCCCCAGCCTCCCCCACCACCAGGTTTTTCATGAGAGAGAGACCTTAGAGAGGCTGAAACTAAAATTGTTGAAGAGGTGCTTCAACAAAGCACTGTTTGAGGGGAAAAGTGTCTGCTTAAAAACCAAAACAAAACAAAAAACCTTACACAAATGCTGTCTGATGGTCTATTATTGTATCTGTGAACACAGTCAGACCTTGCGCTCAGGTACAGCTTAGGCCCCTGAAGGTTCCTGTCCCTATTACATTATGATGTCATCATGTTACCTAGCAGCAGCCTATGAATAGGCTAAAATTACCCATTTGTAGCATTTATAATTTCATCCAAAAGAAAAAGCTTTATCCAAACATTGTCATTTTATCACTCCCTAACAATCAAATAAAATCCCAGACCAAACGAGACTAGGGATGTACAAGTGAGCAAATGATGCCCACTTTAAGTTGTGATCTAAGTGCTAAATGTTTTTTGTTTTGTTTTTTACTCTTTAGTAAGTGTTGTGTGAGAATGAAGTGATGATTGAACCCACATGAATAGATTTTTTTTTTTTTTTTTTGCATTTGAAAAGTGATATTAACGGCTGTTGTGTCCAATTGAATGTAAAGTGGTGAGAACACAATACTCAACATACCAACCAGTTGTACAAAAACTAATACAACATGGATAATCTCAGTGGATTCAGAAAGTATGTTGAAAGAAGTAACAGTGGCTTCTTCCATTTTCAGTCGAGCAGATTGTCGTCTCTGGTTTTGTTTTTAGTTCGCCCTGCTGTTCCTACACAGAAACGATCTGCTCACCCACTTTCTTGCATCTTTGAAGCAACAGCGAACCAGAATTACCACGTCTCCACCTTTTGAAACCTACAGCGGGTTTTGAATCCTTAAAGCAACACAAAACATTCTTATTTTTAGGTGTGCTCATCCCACAATAACTTCAACTAGACAATCTTTTTCCCTCCACCCTAGCCCTCCGGCTGCATCTGTTTTGGAGCATTTCTTTTCCCCAATGAGTTTGGTTGTTGTAGTTTGGGGTTTCATGCTTTAGGGAGCAGATATGCTTAAGAACAATCTGTCCCCCTAACGTTGTTGTACCATTGTGTTTTGAGTGTTTTTGATTTCTTGCTGGTAATTTTCCACAAGTGAAAGACAGTTGTGGCCTGAAAGACATGGGACCAATTGCCTGCACTCCTAGCAATGTGGCAGTCTGAACATTACTGGAGCTTAGCTCAAAAGCTGCTGTGATACTGTTGGATCCATGCATATGTTGTTAGCATAATGACAGTCCAGCCTAATTAGACTGTTTCTTTTCTAGACCAACTGCTACTGTAAAGGGTGTGATTAATGTTAACTGCAAGAGTGTAGGAGGCACCAGAGTGGGTTGTAGGATAAACTTGGTGATGGTGATCATTACCAAACTCAAACGATTAGAGTAGCTGCACTCTGAAACACACATTCAAGGCAGTCTGACCTGATGTGTGTATCAACAGTGATCGAAAAAAGGTTTTTAGATATCTCAGGCAAAAACACAAAGTAAAACAGTATTGTGTGTGTGTGTGTGTGTGTGTGTGTGCGCGCGCGTCTCTTCAGCGAGGTTGTTATTGCATGTACAGAGTCCCCACTGCATTACTATGTACTTCATCTAACCATGGTAGTCCTTGTTCTGCTCTGGAGCCTCTGTGAGCTTGGATTAATCCAGTTCTGGTTAGTGACCCTCCAGCTCACAGCAGAAGAGAAACAGGACTACCTTCTCCGGCTGTGGTCTAAAACAGTGGAGCTGGAGTCCGTCTGCATGCAACACTTCTTTGGCGAGGTAGCTGAGTTATGTCAAGGACTGCCACAGCGATGATTGGTCAGCCTGCTGACAGGGGACCACAAGACTAGAAAAGCCAGGGATGGACAGTGTGAAAATTTAGTGCACAAATAAGAGCACATTATTCCAGTTCTGTCAAAAAAAAAAAATGGAGAAATGCTAAAATGACAGGCCACTTATATTTTGGTGGCATATAATATTCTTGGGTGGCCAAGTAAATCTCATGCATGGGGGAATACTGGCTTTGCTCTGCCGGTTTATTAATTGTGTTCTTTGTGCTCTATGTGTCCCTCCAACAATTTATGTGAGGAAAAAGAAAACGATGTGGTTTTTATCATTTTAGTAATATTGCTGCACACACACAAAAATGCAAGATACGCAGATATGAATATATCTTTGATTAGCTAACATCGACTGACAAGCCTTCTGATTAATATCCATCAAATCGTATTCAAATAGAAAACCAGGAGATTTTATTGCAATTATCTGTGTTCGGCTGATTATGCGTGAAATCCTTTCAGTAGTTTGTGAACTAGTAAAAATCCAGACTGAATTGCTGCAGGGACAGGAGCTTTGTCATAGTATGTGTTTGCATTGCAAAAGAAATGTTTCTTTTCCCTGTTGAGTTTTCTGACCTGTATCTCTCCCTCCCACAGTCGCGTCGGGTCACCACACTGGAGGCAACCATTATGGAGGCACAGGCGTAATGAGGGAGAGGAGGACAGTTGATGACCCCTACTGGTCCTATTCAGGTGAACTCTCATTTATGCTCTGGCTGGAGCCTAAGTAGGAGGGGAAATTGCTTACCTTTTCTGCCTTACCCACCATTTTCCATTTTATTTCCTGCTGTTTCGCCATCAAGCTTCCCCCCACCCCCTCCTCGCTTTAGCAAAATGGGTTTAATAAAGCATTTATGATTCATATAATGGCATACCTGTGATGTATGCTTTTAATAAGAGCAATTAAACAAATGCACTCTGGAGTGAACAGCAGTGACATATTGTGGAGCGAGCCTATGTTCAGATTCATAACGGGAAATAATGAGTTAACTATCTCATTTGTAAAAGTATAGATTAGGACTGATGGATGCTGTCAGCAGTACTATGAAAATGTAATTGTTTAATTCCTAACCGTGTTATTGGTGCTTTGCTTTTAATCTAAATAAATGTTTTTGAGAAGACTTGCTTACTCTGTATTGCAATCTCTTAGCTGTTTACCTTAACACATTTCGAAGATGGATGGATATAGCAGCCCTCAGTGAACTGTCTGATGTATACTTTAATGAATGATTCATTCTGTGCACTCTTATGCTTGTAAATAATCTCACAGTTGGTATAAATTTGCATATCACATCTTTTTGGGTGGTAGTCTTGGAGGAAAGTTTTTAGAGTTATAAACCTGTAAATAAGGAAAGAAGCTGAGCTCAAATAATGTATCAAAATATTTAAAATGGTATGTCACGGTATAATATTTTAAACTATCAGAAGCATATTTTATCAACTTCTAAGCTAAAGCTGTATTTAAATGCTTTAAGAGTTTAATTTTTCCCATTTTCTGGTATCTAAATTTGCTGTAAGGGGAGAAAAAAGTATAAAAGCACTGGGCTCTATGCATTTATAATGGCATGGCTCATTATTTGACTCATCAGCAGCACTTTACAAGACCATGAGTTAATGTATCTGAGTACCTGCTGAGCACTTGGTATTTGTTTTCTTTTTATAGCACGCAACATTTGGCACTGCTTGTAATGGTAAAAGTCTTTAAATTTCCTGTTTATTGGGCTCGGATGCAAAATGTGTGCACAGTTGTATGCAGAGCAGAAGATGTTTTTGTGGTGGTGAATTGATAAGCATATCCAGTTTGTTCCTTCAAAGCATTCATTCTCATTCAGCTGTACACGTCCACACCCCGGCGCAAACATAGCCCTCTGTAGGCCATCAAGCAGCTCCGATGGGAAATAGGGGTTATGTGATTTGATGGAGGGCACTTTACTGGAAGAGCTCAGGAAGGGAGGAGCACTCGGTAAAATCGTATTTACAGGTTCCAAGTTCCAAAAACACCACCTTGCAAATAACTAACTCGGCCCCTCTGCTGGCGGAGTGCATCGTGGCTCTGAAAATGAATATACTGATGGAATATTTTGTCCTCGGCGCTCCAGTTGTGAACCTAGACTCTTGTGGTTTTAGGCAAGAAAATTGTGCAAATAAAAACACAAAAAACAAAAACAAACTGTGGCTACTTTGGAGTCAAGTTTGTTTGGTATTCATGTCACTCCTGATTGTGACCCTCGTCTCTCCCAGTTGTCGAGTAAAGGCAGTGAAAAGAATGCCTGCTTTGACTATCCAAGCGTGATTGCTCTTTCGCCACAAGGTGTGTGGTGCCTGTTTTAGGAGTTCTGGTCACTTCAGATATGCCATTGTTTTCTGTGCAGCCTACAAAAACGGAAGCCCTGATCACATTTTAACTGTGATCATATAAACAACTTTGGTTCTTTAATTAGATAATGATGCAACATTATGCCATATACAGTGTTTTTGGCATTGGTCTGCTTTAGCGGTGGGCATTATAGCCTCAAAATTATATCGTGATACTTCTGATTAAGAAAGAAATAAAGAATTAGACTTATTGCTCGCAGCTTACATGCAGCAGCTTTTTTTAAATGTAGGCAAATACAGGGCATTTTCCATCTTTTGACACACTTCCTAGTTTGAAGTGTGAATCTAGTGAAAAGAGGTTCCAGCAGCAGCATTAGTGTGGTGGCAGTGACACAGCATTATATCCAATGACACAGCTCAAGTCACATGGAAGCACAAAAGTAGCCTAAATGATGCTTTCCATGGAAATCTTAAGTACAAATACAACATGAATACTTAACACTTGAGTTACTTTATTGTTAAACTAAACTCTTATATAGTATTGTCACATAATAAAACGGAGAAATATTTTCTACCTGTGATGTTTTGTCTTGGGCCGAGCTTCGCTGCTTAAAGCTTTGCTTTTCACATCAGTAATTTCCATCCACCGTTTGCTCTTCCTGTCATATGGAATGCAACTAGCGAGTGCAGCAAGTGTTGCTTGGTTGACTCATTTGTTTACTTTTGGGTCACACATCACCAGCTGCTAGTGTCTTCTCCTTCATAGCCTGGTCGTGCTTGACGGTGTGCTGCCTTTTTTTTTTTTTTTTTTTTTCCCGCTTCAAGCGCTGAAACGACTTTGTTCCCACTAATGCTGGAAACAATTTTCGTGCATAATTTAAAAACGACTGCGTTTCTGTGCGAGGTTGTTGAAGTGGCTTCCTTTATAGGTGCGAAATTGTCATCAGAAGGTCTTGCTGTCAGACTTGCCTGGGCTTGTCTCATTGTTGCGTGCAAGGCGGCATGAATGCATGGCATCGCCATAGCAACAATACATTTATATCAGGATTATCATAGACGAGATGATGTGGCACAGCCCTAGCCCACTTAGTATTTTGTGTTTGTGCCAATGTGTAATGGCAGTAGGCTCAGTAAGCCTGGTGAAAAATCACCTGTAGCAAGGATTAAGTGAGGCGGTACATCACAAATACCTGACATGACTTTAATTTGTACCTTCAGTAATGGCCACACTCCAAATATATGGCATTTGCTGCATGAAATGGTGCTTCTGCTCTTTTCCCCTAAAGGTCAGAGTGTGTGTTTCTTTTTTCCAATGATGTTAGTGGTTGTAATAATTGATTTAGTTTAGATGGTCCACCACTCTTGTAAAACACTGTAACTGTGTCTTGCGCTTCATTGGTATTTCTGTCCTGTCATGCATTCATCGACCAAAATTTGAAATTTGCCTTTTAGCAAATGAAGTGACAAAATACTGATGAGAGCAACCGTTTTTTGCTTTTTGTTTTGGGTCACACATCAATTTTACACTGGTTAAATGTTCAGTGATAGACATGAATAAAAAGCTGAAAAGCCTTAGAACATTTAAGCTTTTTCCAATAATGATATTGTTTGTTTGTTTTCTTCAGGACCAAATGTAAACATGTATTAGTCATGCTAATCAACACATGTCTGCAGTACTTGGATGTAGAAAATGAAAAGTGTCTGCTGCGTGGGTTTAAAGTGAAATCACCAGTTGACCCAAATGATGCGTAACCACATTCTTCCTGTACGGACGTTAACCTGCAGGGAAGCAAGTGCTAGCTGCTGCTAGCAATGCCTGGTAATGGGTAAATTATACTCACAGTGACATTTAAAGTATTTTTGAATGAAAACTGAAATGTTTGTGTTGCCAGTTTGTTTAACCTTGTACATGGAGCACGAGTGATATAGGATTTTTAAGTCAAATGTGAATATTTGATGATTTTATAAAGCTGATATATCGCTCATATTCTTTTTTTCGTTGAGACACAATAACAGATTTCAGTAACATTTGTCATGTGTAGTTGTTTGAGTCGTTACTAACAATCTCAGTGCTATGGATTACTTGTTGCAGACTGCCCTCTGATGGAAACTGTACAATGTCAAAACTCAATAACATAACTGAGGTGTTTCTTCCATCTCTTATCAGCTGCTGTGAATACTGATGACGGCACTTTGCAAATGGCTAATATCAGTTATAAATGAGATGATAATGATTTCTTACTTTTAGGCTATGCAGCTAGTCTGATCCCTCTCCCGCCATCCCCCCTCCCATTTAAAAGACTTATAAATTATTTGCCAGGAACATCTTTTGACCACACCTGAGTCCACACTCCTGTGGGACACAATCTTGATATTCATGCTGAGGTCCTTCTTATTTTCTAATTAGAACATCAGGCTTGGGTTGGCATGCGTCTTTGGTCAATTAAATTCTAGGGCTTTGTTTTTTGACAGCATGTTAGGTATCGTTAATAAACAGCCTGCAGCACCATTGACATACTTCTTTTTATAACTATCTTGCTAAGGTCTCATTTTGATATGCTGTTTGTTCATGGTTGGCAAGAGAAGGGCCGGTAATTGGGTATCTGGGTTTTTCTATGCTGGGATGGTGGCCAAAAAATAAAATAAAACAAATAAGGAAAAAAAAAAACTATCAAGATAGGCAACTGGCTGACACGATTTGATTTTTGGACATTCATTTCAGGTCCGTGTAGACCACCAGTTCCTACCAGTCAAGACAGCTGGCAGATTGTACAAAAAATAAAAGGAAAGAACTGAGGGAATACAGAAATGGTCATTACTTGGGGAAGGTAATTAGCGGCTAAGGCTGTGAATGGAGGACAGAGGAGCGTGCCTTAGCAGCTAAATGGTTATTAAAGGCATTTGCTCTGTGCAAGTGAGTGTAAAAAGAAACGCACACAGTCGGGCTAGCCTCAAGCTAGAAGCAACTGCATAGATAGACTAGCACTGTGAGCGAGACACACGAGTACTGAACGTAACCTATAGAGGAGCATTGTGCCACTAGTGTGATTACTTTAGGAGTGAGGGCATTCCAAGAATGTGAAATGATGTTTCTCAGGCTAAAATAAAACATAGTGATGGAAAAAAAAAATGTAATTTTTGATGATCAGATCTTTTTTCTTTAAACTCGCCTGCGTTATCAATAGGACGAGTGATTTTTGCGCAGTTTTTGTTTTTCTCTAAAAAATCTGGCTACACGTGACAGTGATGTGAGTTGGCTTTTAATAATTTTCATTATTGCTTCGTATTTTCCATAAGAGGGTGCTAACCCCTTACTTTGTACATATTAGTCTAGTGCATTGAGGAGTGAAGCACATGACACATCACCTTCCTGTGTG